ACATTAAGGCAAAAAATCCGATTTGAGTCACTTCAGCATGGCAGTGTGAACGTAGCCTTTGCTGCTTTATTGTATATAGTTATACTGTATGTAAGTTAGGTTTTGTAAAGGGTTCTTACTTGTATGTGTAGTATTGTAATCAGTTGATAAGTAAAAAAAAAAATTACAAAATTATTTATTTGCATTGCATAAAGTACCTCATTTCATACCTGATAAGACCAGCTGAAATGGTCTGCCGGTTTACAAGGCGGCTGCCACCAGGGGGCGACGTTTCAGCGAATACATGTATTTTGCTTGGGCTCACCTGCCAGTTCTAAACGTATATTGGTTTTCAATTAACTTATCATTATGCTGAGCAATTATAACATCATACAAATGATAATGAAGTATGGGGACGAGGTTCTCCATGGTACATTTTTAATTTTAGTTTTTAATTCTCTCGAAATAAAAAGTGTATATGTGTCCCCTGCCTGTTGGTCACAAATAGTCACGACACTGAACGGGGGGTGGCAAAGTGACTTTTTGAGTGCGGCAATAAAGTGACAACAAACCTACCCCTTGATGACAGCATAAACGCAGTATATAAATAGTGTATTGTACTGTATTAGTATGAAAGGGCGGCACGGTGGTGCAGTGTGCCTCACAGCAAGAATTTTGCATGTTCTCCTCGTGTTGGACCTGTGGTGGACTGGCGACCTGCCCAGGGTGTACCCCGCCTCTCGCCCGAAGATGCTGGGATTGGCTCCAGCTTCCCCGCAACCTAGATGGGTAAAGCGGTATAGATAATGGATGGATGGATGGTTCTGGTTCTGGTTCTGGCAAACCATCCGGAATATCAGGAGGGGGAAGAGGGGGAAGCAGTGGGGGGGGTGCTGTTGACCTCACCTGGGGACTTCACCTGGAGGTGGAAGAAATACTTTGAGGACCTCCTCAACTCTGCCTCAGATACATCTATGCACACTGCCTTTGAGACATCTGAGGGCACAGAGCCCGAGGGTGCTGGGGGGGGGCTTGCCCAGCACTGGGGCTGAGGTGGCCAAGGTGGTT